ATACTGTGCTCTCTCCAGAGAGAGAGAGACAGAGACAGAGAGAGAGAGAGAGAGAGAGAGAGAGAGAGAGAGAGAGAGAGAGAGAGAGACCCACGATCCCCCACAGGGATAGATGTCCTGATAGACCATCGGCTGATGCTACCTCAGAAAGACACAAACCCAAGTGACTCCCAATCAGCTGCCCCCAAACCCTGGGTGACAGCATTACCTATTGCAGCAAATCCTCCTGAAGTTAAGATACCCTCAATGAGCCATCTTTTTTCCTGAAGGGACCTAATTATGACCCTGACAACCTGGAGGTGACAGAGAAACCACATAGAGACCCTGAAGTGCCAGAGTGCTGATATGAGAAGGCAAGTAGCAGGCAGGCGAGGCTAGCGGGAGCCAGAAGTGGAGTCCAGGAGGGGGAGCGAGTGCAGGGCAAAGCGAAGTGCACTCCACACTGCGTGGCTGACGCCTTGTCTGTGCGGCAGGGGGTTCAGGAGGATTTTAGAGACAGCACATGGGCTGACTTACACCGAGGAGACTGAAATAAGGAGAGCCAGGATGGCCAGAATGTAAGGAGAGGAGGAGGCTGAGGCATCAAAGCGATAGTCCGCATAAGAAGGGGGCTCAGGCCAGAGCAGGAGCTGTTGAGTTGGTGAGGAGGGTGGAATTCAGGGGAGACGAGCCTCTTGAAAACGGAATCACCATTTCTGGAGAGGCAGGAGACCATGGGAAGACCAGATTGGGCTGTCTACATCAGCTGTCTGACTTACAGTGGTCGGAGCTCAATTTACAACACAAATTTCACATGCATATTTGCTTCCCAAGGGCAGAAATCATGCATCTAACAAGATATACATTTGGAGAGTTCTAGGATGATGGTAACAATTCAGGCATCTTTGGTGCATGGGTAGAAAAGAACAGATTGTTCCAAGACAGGAAATGAAGATAGGAAAGAGAGTCCAAGTCCAGGGCTCCAGGGTGGTCCACAGCACACCATGTGGATCAAGGGATAAACCTAGGCTTTCCTGCCACACTGAAAGATGAAGGCCGCATGTCCAGATGGCCAGTGGGCCAGTGCCAACCTACGGAACTCTGTCGACAACAGCCAGCTGCTCAGCACACTCTCCTGGCTGCCAGCAGGGAACAGGCCACCCAGCTCTCACAGCCATCCAGCAGGTCTGGCTTCCAATGTGCACAACTATCAGGGACAAGCTACTGCCAATGGCCAGGAATGAAAGGAAGTCAGGGAGATGTGAAGCAACACGATTCAGAAACAAAAACCAGCCAGGTGTGGTGGCGCACGCTTGTAATCCCATCATCCAGGAGGCTAAAACAGCAGGATCGTTGCAAATTTAAGACCAGCCTGGGCTACAAAGTGAGCTCAAGGCCAGCCTGAATTGCATAGTGATACCCTAAAATACAAAAACAAACAACAACCACCCCAACAACACCTTTTCCTTCTCTTTCCTCAGCTGCACTACTTAGTCCTTTCTCTAAATCTATTCTTTCTCAGACTCCATCAAAGCCAAATTGACTATGAGCTGTCGGAGGACAAGCCCAGATTCTATTCACCACTGTCTATCCATCAGAGGACATACCTGCTACCCAGGGAATATCTGGAAATTAAATGAAAATAGGTATTATTTTTTGCTCATTCTTTCTTCTTTGCCTTCAATCTTCTTTTAATGAACATAGATTTCTTTTCAGGAATTTCTACTTTTTCTGTTGCCAAATTTTGCCTGCTTCATAGTCTGTCACAGATATTCCTTCATGAAGGATAAATAAGGAAGGAAAGACAAGAAAAACTGCCTACTCACTTTGTAGGGTTCTTATTCAAGTCCTGCCTTGCAAAATCTCATCCCTAGCGAAATGTCTGTGACTACTGCTCAGCATAAACACTTAGGTAATAAAATACAACCTTGAAGAGACAATGGCAGCTCTTCCTAGCCAGAACTTCTTGTTCTGTCATGACTGAAATGTTTATTCTCACTACAAATACTCCCCACATGATTCAGCAAATAGTCACTTGCTTCGCAAGAACTAGCTGTGTTCCCAGATGGTTCAAAACTGGCTTGGTGACCCAATTATTGTAGGCAGCTAAGATGACAGG